ACTAATCCAGACATTTTGAATTGAGAAAGCTTCATTGATGGGAAGCGAAACATCTCTAAACTTGCAAAACAATGTCCAGGGGATTGTTTTTACTGTATCATTCTAACCCCATCTAAAAAAAAAAAAAAAAAACTTAATACATTTAAGCTTGCACACCTAATTCTTTATAAAATTAATTGAAGTTGTTTGTTTATGAATATTCCACCCTCTAAAACATAAAACTTAAATTAGAAAATTATTTGTAAAAAAAAAACTTTTTTGCTGTTCATATTAAATATATGTTGGATTTACAGTTTAAAATCAAAATCTTTAGATAGTTCTGCAGCTCTTATGGGAAAAATACATTCTAAAGGTCTGTGATGAAATGTTTTAAGAGATTATGTATGAAGTAACTAACTACTTAGAGGGAAAAAGAAGAAGATTAAAGTAAAATGTTTTTAAGGAAAAGCAGCCTGGGATCCCAGTCAAATTAAAACTATTTTAAAAGCATGGGGCAAAGACTAAATACAACTCAGACCTACTTCTCTGTCTACTTCAAAAAGATAATCTAACCTAGTTTTCTGTATCCACCCGCTTATTCTGCTTGAGGTTGGTTCTACAACAATATAACCATCATGGATCTGTAAACAACCTCAGCAACATCCTTAAAATGTGATTAAAGGAAGAGCTAAGTACATCTTAAATGTATACTGCATTGATCACATTTGCATAATCAATTTGATGCTTTTTGTTAGGAGCTATTTGCTGGTATCAGTGCTTTTAAAATGATTTACTGAATGTTGTCACTTTAAACCTACATACAGCAGCTTTTAACAGGAGTAGATTACAAAGGCTTAGTTAAGATTTATCTGATTGGGATATGGACTGGGTGATAGATGGGTTGTTGTCCCTATGGAAAAAGAAAATATAATTCATTAATCTAAAGATATATGGTTTCAGTTAACTAAAAGAAAAGTATGTATGTGTGTATATATATATAAATATATATACATAAATATATAAATATAATATATATATAATATATATATATAAATGTATATATAAATAAATATGCACTATATATATATATATATATATAGTGCATATTTATATTGTAATTCATTGAAAACTTATATTTATATACAGTTTATATTATATATTTAATATGGCATATGATGTATGAAAATGTATTGCATAGGACATTTTAATAAGCATTGTAAAACCTTACAAATACAAATATTTATTTGATTACAAAACTTATTCCTTGAAGGTCTGTAAATAAGAAAAAAGTAGTGCAATGTAAATACTGAACTAACTTTCCCGATATAAGTCCTTTAGACATCATTTATATTTTCTAATTTGAAAATACATAAAATATATTCTATTGATTATCATGTATTTTATTATAACATAAAATAAGATATAACCAAACACAGTTTTGAAAGATACAGGAATATGTGTTGTTTCATGTACTAGTTTATATATTCTAGTACGGTATTTTAAAGACATGCGCTCAAAAAAAGAAAATGCTTTGCCAACTTCAGTGATTGCATCAGTTGATAACAAGTGACTGAACCAAGTTGATCCAACTTAATATTTTTAGTTTATTAGTGAAAAACTTAAATAAATGAAGTTGGGCCGCCCTGTTACCAATTGGAGCAGTTCAATGAAGTTGGAGCTACATTTTTTTTTGTGTTACTCAACACATAACTTAATATAGTGAGCCAATGTCCTCATGTTAACCCATGAAAGAGTTAAAGTGGAGTTTCTACTTCAGTAATGCTACCCCATGTAAAAAAGTGGCATAGACCTCGTCTCCATAGTTTGGCATTTGCCCATACATGGTTCATGCATATATTTCAGTAAATGAAAAAACAAACAAAATAAAACAAGTGGAACTAGTTTCTCCTATACTAACATTTATTAATGAAGTAATTGTATTACATTAACCAATACATTCAAATAATTAATTCATTTATTGTTTTTATCAGAACTAACTAATCTGGTCATTTTGGGAACACCTGCCCTGCTTCTGTATGCAGAATACCTAACTTCGGCATTGATCAATCTTGACCGAAGTGTTAATGAGGTGAAAAGGGTCATTCCTGCAAACACAAACTGTTGTCCTCCAGACCACAGTGGCCAAAGCAAAGTCCGGCTGTACTGTTCTGCCATGCCAAATTAATGGATTTCTTTTGCTGAAACTAAAGCCTATTGATCATCTTTCTTTGAAGTTTACGTTTCTGTTTTACTCAGACGTTTGCCTTTGTAACCCACACAATATAATTGGAAAGTTGGGAACAAGTACTGTAGGTGGAGGGAAATTGATTTGAAAACGTTTCATTGTAGAGTAGAATTTAAAATGCAGTTCTGGGTCTGAAAGCTTAGCGTCAAAGCTTCACTGCTCAGCTTCCAGACTAAATGTCTGGCCTATGTGGGCAAAGATAATAATAACTCCTATAAACATTCAAACACATGCAGTATGCTTAGGACTTTCACTTACTCAGTCAATCAATGAGCCGTTCGATTGCTCAGTAAAATTGGCCTCCTCTCTTGTGCACTTCCCGTCTCTTTGCAAGCATGCAGACAGTATAAAAGCTGGTAATTAACTTTAACTGAAAGTTCTGTGCAGACATAAACCCCTGGGGAATACAAAGTGATAGTGTATTCAGTGCAGTGGATCCCTACCTATTGTCTCAATAGACCATTGAGGCAAACGAGCCAAATAAACCTTTTTTTTGTCAGTTCTTGTATTTTCCAGTACATCTTTCATCACATCAGAAACTATGGTTTCTCCAACAGCTTGGTGATTTTTTTTTTTTTTTTCAGCTCAAACTAAAGTGTTGCTCTCAGCAGCATGTTCCAACAATCAGTATGCTTTACAAATAAAACAATGCCAGGGTTCATTGTGTGAATATGAACAGTAATTAGTGTTTCCCAGCTATACTTACTTCTATGGTGAGTATGTAATTAGTCTTCAGTTTTTGTCAGTAAATGTTTCCCTGCTGATTTCAGCTTGACATTCAGCTAACCTGTTAGCTGAATTAGTGCCCTTAAAGCTGCATGTTGTCAGTTGCTGTTTTACCATTATTTATAGAAACCTACTGTTTTTTCTCTTATATGAAACATACACATTTCTATTCATCTTTTTTATGTCCATCCAGTATGGGAAGAAGCTATTCTTTCAAAAGATACCGGTCTTCTTTTTTAGGAGTATGGCAGTGTCAGTGTCGAGGAATGTCCGTATGGAATGATCTTTTGTAGAAAATGATCTGCTTTCAGAGAAAAACAGCCTCTTTTATCCCCCAATCATCCTTTATCTGTTTTATTTTTTATTCCTCTTTCTGTCTCCAACCTTCTAAATTCAGCTTTTACAGTACTCAGTTTTGACAATGCACAAATGAGATGCAGTGCCTGTGGTGAAGATTGGCTTTCCTGAAGCTCTGAAATACATTACAGCATATACAGCTTCAAACATTTAAAGCCATGATTTCCAAAGCCCTAAATCTTGTATCTTCATTACCACAGACATTACAGAGTTAGTTTCTTCTATCCCTTGTAGCTTATTTTGGTCAACTATACTTTCACAGTAAGATAAAGTGTATGACTGCCGCATGAGATAGTCTTTAAAGTCGTAGGGAAGTCATATTTAAATGTCTAATCATTCTGGCTTAAACATGTATATAAATGTACTCTTTATCAGACTATATTGTCCCAAAATTTAGAAAAACTCTATTTAAAAAAAAAAAAACTTTTTTTCGGAATATCTCACCAAAATCACAGGCCTGAACATAAATGCGAAGGTTTTGGTTGTTCTTTGGTTTGTATTATTCTTTTGTTACATAAATGTAGGTGGGTGATTAATATTCAAAAGCTAACAGAAGCTAAATGTTGCTGAACACATCAAAACATCACAATTAAAAAATGAATGAATAAATAAATGTTGCAGCACATTGTCCTTTATTTATGTATGATATATAGACATATGTATGTGTGTATGTTTTAGTGTGTATGTGTGGCAATGTTTTTGTTACCTTGAGGGGACTTTTTTTTCCCAGGAATATGCTACATTTTAGGATGTATAAGTAATTGGGGGGAGCAACGACTGGTTCCCATTAGGTTCTCTTCTAGGGGTGGTGTTTAGGACGAAGATGTGAATAGAGTTTAGGTTAGGTTTAAAAAGAAGAAAACTAACTTTTTTTTCTTATAAATTAATTTTGTGTGAGATTCAAAATTGTAGTTTAACTGTGTAACTTTTCAATTAATTTCTTTTTAGATCAGTTTAGTTTATATGATTGTATTAATAACATGCATACATCCACTGGATCAAGCACAAAAAATTAAATACATATCGGAATGGAAACAATCAGCTCCTTCCGGGTCTGTCTGAAAAAACAGAAATATCAGCTTACCACTTAAGCTGTACTCAAAGAAAGATTAACTTCTTTATCCATCTAATTTATGTCAGGGTGAAGGTGGTGTTGGATGTAGAGGTTTGCATCTGACGCAACTTAGCATGCACCATTAGTGTTTGTGTGAATTGTAATTGTTTGTGTATTGGCTTTGAATAGAATTTGCAGTGTGTGAAAGTCGACAAAATCATAAGTTATCTTGGATTTCACCAGGAAAGTACACAATGTATTCCTCATCTCCATATCTCATTAAAAATGACATGCTGGAGTTTGTTCAAGCTTTTGGTATGTCTTAGGTCATCTAGATATTTCGGGAGGATCCACACTGGTATTTTTTCTGAGGAGAAATCTAAAGGAGGCTTAAGAAATCTGAAATGAAAGTAAAGAGGAACAGAATAAGTCACATAATGTATTGTTACAAAAAGGGAAGTAGAATTTTTTTCAGTTAACATCTAAGAGTTAGAGTGTGTGATTGCATTAAAAAAGAAGATATTTTTACACAGGGAGGGGAGCAACATTGTTCCTCCTCTCCTACTTCCTAAAGAGCAGCTGTGTGAGTGTTTCACCAGGAGGGCGGTGGCAGACTGGGGGTATTTGAAAAGAGGAAGGAAAGAGAAATAATATTCTCACATTACAGCACAAGTTCTCGAATCAGACGTATAGATTCTGATGGACAGGTATTGGCTTTCCTCTTTGAGTTTACTTGCTGAAAGAACGTGAGTGTCAAGTGTCACTGTCAATCTTGGCTTTTTTTTCTCGTGCGGCTGACGGTGACATTCAACCCCACACTCTTGTCGGCTTGCATGCATCTGTACTTGCGGAATGATGACTGAGCTCAGGATGGCAAAGAGTGCCTTACTGGAGGGACTTCTGAGCAGGCCATACACTAAGCCTTTTCTCAAGAGACGATGCTTCAGTGATGTGAGTAAATAGAAAAATAGTTTGAAAGTTTGACATTCTGTCGCTCTTATTGTGGTTTCCAAAATCCATTTCAGTTTCTCTTTCCTTCTCTGATTTTAAGTAACAGAGCAGTTTGTTTTTTGTATGTCTTTAATCTTATAACTGTTAATTTAATACCTCTGCACTTGTATAATGTGTTGCTTGAAGATGAGTTTGTTCACCTGAAATCTAATCAAAAGTAAATAAAATTATGCAAATTCTGGTGGGGAATTTAACTTCTTAGCTCTCCACCAATGCTTTGCCTTTTTTGCTGTCTCAAATAAGATTCAGCTCAAACTATGTTAGTGTGCAGTTTGCATATTTTACAAAAAAAACATGCCAAATCAACAGACAATGGTGGTTGATGTCTGTGTTTGCAGTGTTAGATGCAGGATTTTCCCAGAATTTCATATGGTAATGTTTATTTTTGCGAACAGCAATAGTTGGCCTTTGGCTTCGCGAGGCCAGAGTCAGTTGAGCAGATGCCTTCCCACTTGCAAGTGGCGACAGGTGCGTGCATGAGGCAGAAGAGAAAGTTCAAGTTCATGCTCATGTAAAAAAGAAAAAACAACAAAAAAAAGATGGATGTGCTCCTCAGTGCTTTCATGTGCATATGCGTTTTGGAAGGCCTGGAGCACCCCTCAGTAAATTTAAGCTGTCATGTGGAAACATCAGCTTGGCACTGCAGTCCAGTTGTGTTACATGGTGAACTGACAATGCACCCTTACAGGGAGTGCTGTTTGCCGCACTCCTTCTGCACAGGTTGGAACTGCTTCAAGCCCTTAGTGTGGACTCTGCAGATGAAAGGTGCCTGCCTCAGGGTATTTTCTTTGACTTCAGCATTCACCAGTGCCTGAGCTAATTGGACAAAACACTGAGCAAAACACATAAGCTGTGTAGCAGTGAAGGGTTTCCGGGGTAATTAAAACCCTGTAGCTGGATTGAAATCTCTCTATGAGCAGAATCAGCACGCTATGGACACATGCTAGCTCAAAAACTGATTATGCCATGAATGAAATGAAACATAGTTTTGGTGTCAGTTAAAATTAACATCCTTTCTGCTTGCTACATGATAAGCAGGATAAACTGTGTCTCAGTCACACCTTAATGTGAACTTGTGCTTCAGACTACATAACCTCAATGAGTACCAGATAATTTGCTAATTTGGCTGTTGTACACAGTCAGAAGAGCTGTTGACTCTGGAAACACGGAGAATCACCCTTGTGTTTTGAGTTCATCCCTCCCTCCCCTCCCAAGAGCTGCTTGTTTATAGCAGGTTTGTCTCAAAGCGAACAGATTCAAGGGTAATTGTTGCAGTGAACGTAGAGAGCCAAGTGGGCTGGGAAGTAGAACTTTTATGTGAGATAATGAAACTTTCCAAAAAAGAAGCTTCACATATTAAAACTGTGCCACTGGGGAATTTGTTTGGTAGGAAAATGATTCCAGAAATAAAAGCAAAGTAAAGCACGTCTATGGATAATAAAACACATGTGTCTTTTCGGTTTCAACTCTCTCCATCAGACCTCAGACCTGTTTGCCATGATCGAGCGGATGCAGGTACAGTAGCAGGCCTCCCCCTTATTAATTTGTTTGCTTCCCTTTTCACAAGCTTTAATCAAACTCTACACTATGAATTTCCCTCACTTTGGAAGAAAAACATCCTGCTACTCTGTATTCAGTTCCCTTTTCTTTTGCTGCTCCTTACATTCTCGTTCTGAGCCCTGCAGCCCTGCGAGTGCGACGCCCCTGTATGCGTTTCTGTCCTTGCATCCGTCTCTTATATCTGCAGCTTCAGGCTCGCAGCAGAAACCTTCTGCTTTTGAATGCACTGAACAGAGCCTCCTTTGTGTTTTCTCTTCACAGCTGGGTAGTTTTGTCTGTGTCATCAGATGTGTGAAATGTATCAGTTTCCATTTTGCTGAGGTGGATTCTTGTGCATCTAGTTTGTCTTGTTGTCAGTGCAGCAGCGCTACAGACATGTCTGAAATTTGTTTGATATTGAAGGGGGAACTACAGCGGTACTCTGATCAAACAGCATCTTTTACTTCACAGACCTCCACATGACTTCACTTTGAACTACAGCCTTGAATAGTTGATGTTTTATTTCAGCTTTAAGTGTGTTTTCTTTCCTGTAAATATTGTTTAGAAAAACAGAATGCCGTGATATAAAATATCTTATGTGTATTGTCTATTAAAAGAGGTTATCATTTTTAAATCTTATTACTTATTTTTTCTAAATAAATCATCAAAACTCTATTGCAGACTATGATGTATGTATTTAATAATTGTCTTCATATTCCATAGTCATATTTGATATTTTAGCTACTAATTAAAAGTCCTGTTATATATCTTTATGCACTATTTAAAAAATCAGGAGAAAATGATTTGACACAATGACTGAAAAAAAGATATGATGGTATCTGCACTATGGATTTGCCTCACCTATCCTTTTGCCCATTCTAGCTTCTAACATGTCCCTCCTTTTCACTTCCTCTTTCTGTAGCACATCTGGCTTTTGAGCTTGCATATGTAAACATGAGTTACTGTAGTGATGATCACCAAGTACAATGCCATACATGGCTTTAATGGATGTTGAAAATTGGTGGTGTGTTTCTTTGCATAGCTGCTTTTGAGATATTGCACGTCTCTTTCTTTGCTTTTCTCTCTACAGGGGTGCAGAATGGATGAGCAAAGATGCCCCTTCCCTCCTCCCCTCAAAGTAAGTCACAAATTCACAAATCTCCTCATAGAGCGCACACTGGTAAAGCATCTGGAATGGCAGAGTTATAAAACCTTTCCTTATCAGCCGTCGGGCAGGCTTTAGGGTGCTCACCGAATGAGTTACGAGCTGAGCACGGACAGGGGAGGCCAGATTTTCTGCTGTTCTTTTATCTGGGCTGGCTGACAGTCTTGGCAGAAGACCGGACTCTGCAAGAGGTCTGAGGTCAAGTCCAAAGCCAAATGTAAAAAAATAACGTAAAGAATGACGTATGTTTCTTTCTGGTAAATTTTACTGTACAATAAAAGAAAGCCTAAAGCTGCAATTAATTAACTACAGCCTATCCTAATGCAGCTGGCCCTGATATCAAGCTGAAACAGCATCAGCCTTTTTTCAAATCATGTTTTGAAGCTTGTTTTAGTGAGTTGTTACAGTAAATTGGCTCATTTAAATGAGAGCAATTAACATTAATTAAGAAGTCAGCTTTAAGCACCAATGTAAGTATGCTAGAGTTAGTGTAGGAGCTAGTTTTTCCCCACTGTCCCAAGGCGGGTAAGGACAAGATAATATTCACAGAGGACAACATCAAAGATGCCAATTAAAGCAAATCATAAAAAATTCAGATGACCGTTTCCAGAGAAACAGACTATTTACCTGTGGACGCATGTCTGGGCAATTCACAACCAGTATTTGAGAGAGTTTTGACGGTGCCACAGTTCCTGACATGAGCTGGCAGTGTCATCCACAACTGTGTATCTGCTCAACTTCTGATCGGCGCCACCACCTGGCTAAACTGCTTTTGGTTATAGGTTGCAGTCTCCTTTGGTCTAGGGTTTATTCTATATTTGTTATTTTACTTATAAAATCCATTGAAGGAAGGCGAGCAATTCAATTTAAGACTTTAAAAAGAAGGCACGAATATCTGATGATTTTCTTAGATGTATTTACTTTAGATGTTACAACAGTGACAGTGTAAAGGTCGTTTTAATGACAAATGTTCAGTGTTTGCAGTGAAGCTTTGCTCTGCAGAATACTCAGATATATGGGCATACTCCCATCAGGTTTGCACTTTAAATTCAGTCACAGATTAAACTTCTGTAACAACAATTACAATTATTGTGCAAATTAGTTTAAGTGGGCATCAGTGAAAGCTGTCAGAAAGTCTAAGAAAAACTGGATGAGGTCATCATTCTTCTGCTGGCTTACTGCTTTCATTTCGACAAATGGTGTGAAACTACATTGTTAAACTACACTAATAAACTCATACTATATAATAATTAGATATTAAGCAGGTTTATGTCCCAGTGTTGGTCCACTTTGACTGTAAATAGTCAGTGACCTTCAGATGAAGGCATCTAATTGTTTTTTTTTTCGCATTCGCACTAAATAACAGGGATTGGTCAGAGTGTTTAGAGGTTTGCAGCTCTAACAGACAGCTGATTTTTTTGTTCCTTTTTTGAATACATAAGGTATTTATTGCTCTGAGGATGGAAGGACAATTTCACTAAATCTAATAAAAAGGGTTTCTGAGCAGGATTGCCTGCACATTCTCTCTGTATTTGCTAACATCTCTGAAAGTACAATAAAAAATGTTGAATGTTGAATAACAACATTTTTAGTTTAAAATGTTAAGAAGCAGAACTTTAACTTGAGTATTTCTGCAGTGGTAACACTGTAGTACATTAATGTTTGTGGAATAAGCAACACTCAAAATTTGTGAAGCTTCCAGATACTTAAAAGGGAAAATCTTCTTTGTTCCTGATAAATTTGAACTCCTGATGAAGACACTCAGCTGGAATATTATCTTGCTCTTCTTGCTGAAACACTCTTAGCCTTTTCTCACATGGAAAAGATTTTAACACCCTGTCACTGGAGGTTACCAAACACAGGAAGGAGATTCTTACCAAATCCAGCCCAAGATTAAAGGATGTTCTCAAACTTCATATCTGCAGAATACATTTTCTTAGATTAGATTTTCTTTTGCCCTGACCTTTCAGTAAAACAACATGGTGGTTTCGATTATAAATCTTTTCTTTCAAAACACATTTTTCCCTGTATGCCCGTATGTATCATGCTCTCATGTCTATTTTCCTTAAAATAGGAGATATCAAATAATGGTTTAAAGAATTTGCTGAAGTAATGTTATTCCGTCTTTTGCAGACAGAGGAGGACTACATTCCTTATCCGAGTGTTCATGAGGTACATTGATGCATGTGTTGTTAAAAGACTTTATGTTAAAATGACTTGGTTACTTAGAAGAATGTTTTTTCTCCATCGGTGTCAGGTTCTGGGACGCAGAAGCCCCTTTCCGCTCATCCTGCTGCCCCAGTTTGGAGGATACTGGATCGAAGGAACCAATCATGAGCCTAAAGACACACCAGAGGCTGATTATCCTTCCTGTCCAACCTCCCACATTAAATTAGAGACAAACAGCACTGCCAAGATCTACAGGAAGCATTTCATGGGCAAAGTGAGAATGGTGGTTTTGTGATTTATTTTAGCCATTTTCTTTTAAACAAACATTAGCCCCCTTTTTTTCTGCTTTATGTTGTAGTTTAATTACTTTACATGTAGTCTCATTAATATGCTGTGAGACTAATGAGGCCACGTCTTTCTATTGCTTTAGATTCATTTGACTCATAGAAGTACTAGAAGATGTATAGATAAACTGGAGTCTATGAAGGCTGCTCCAACAGAAATGCGTTATTAGTGCAGTTATTGTCAGGTTTTGTTCCTGTTCAGTAGACTGTACGGTAAAACCTTTTGTACAATTATAATTGGATTGTCACTCTCTGCTCCTCTCCCTATTGTGAATTTATCAGAGCATTGCCTTTTTCTTGTTGTGTCACCCACTGTCAGTTGCTGCAGGAGTTACATCATCCTCGCACTAACATTTCCTTCACTTATCTGCCCCCAGGAACACTTTAATTACTACACGATGGATGCGGCCCTCGGCCACTTGGTCTTCTCAATGAAGTACGAAGTCATCGGGGATCAAGAGCATCTGCGCTTGATGCTACGGTACCATTATGTTCCATTATTGTCCTCCAACGCTAACTTGTTTTGTCTGCAATAAATGTGTTTTTCTCCCTGGCCCATCCTTGCTTTTTCTTCCTTCTCTTTATTTTTATATTTTTTCACTCTGCCCTTCTTTTTTACAGTAAAATGGTAGTATGTTTTTTTCTCTTTTTGAGGGGTCCACTGTATTTAGCACAAAAAGCAGCCTCAAACAACAACAAGCAGGATATTTGCTTCATTTAATTTAAGTAAATATAGCCCACATTTGTAAGAGGTGCTAAACATATCCAAGGTTCTTGAAATAAATTGTGACTTGTTTAAGAGTGTTCACAAAATATCCAGCAATCAACCCACCACTCACCTCTGTAGAAAAACTGTAATGCTCTCACTCACCATTGCCCAAAGTCATGTTTATTCACTAAAAACCTCCACTCATCACACTTTGCCAGAGAGAGGAGGGGCTGAGAGGCAGAACTCAATGTGCAGTGTAACCTGTGAATTAAATTTAGCACCCAAGAGACTCCTCTTAAGATTTTAATAGCAGTGCTCCTTCCTTGTTAATGGATCTTCAGAGTGGATGAGTGTTCAGTTTGGTTGCGGTAACACAGCCCACAACCTTTTCCACGTTGTGCTGTTTTCTGATGGGTGAACATCACCCACAGTCACCCCAGCGAGTAGAATCACTGCCACTGGAATATATTTACAGACCTAAAGAACCAGGAGAGCAACTCATGCTCTGCTTTATATCATCTTAAATTATTCTATACTACTGATTATTCTTAATGAATCAAGGAAACATGTTTAAATGAAACAAATATTCTGTATCCCTGGACTTTTTGATGGCAAACCTTCCCCTTTCCACGCCAAAGTCTTGTAGTTTGAGGTTGTCTTCCTGGATTGTGCTGGATTAAGCTCCATTCATCAGCATATGGTTCTGGTACCACATTAAATGAAGTCATGATGTTTAAATGTTATTTTGCTACCGCAGCGTTTAACATGTTGGGCCAAATGTACATCTTTGGTCTTATCTAATCAGATGTCATTCTTCAGTAGATTTTATTTATCCTTACATCATTTGTAGCCAGCTGAAAGACAACTTTCTCCTCAACAATTGCCTGCTTCCTTACTTAAATACCTGGTGTCGATTTAGGTGCCGTCCATCCCCTTTCCCATCAAGCTGTCCTCTTTCCACTTTGAGTGTTGGATTGCACGGGGCTCCATGGGATTTTCAAATATTTTTGTAACAAACTATGCCTTAAACCTCTGACCAACATTTCCTATGTAGGCCTGTCGTCTTTATTCCTGGGACTTTATTTTGCTATTCGTTATTTTATTCTTTTATAAACCTTTAAATTCTCCACAGAACCTCTGGTTTTATATTTAGCTAAGATTACACACATGTTGACTAATCAACAATTTGGTGAATACTAAATCTTTCAATCTCACAGTTATTAATTTATTTTACATCAGCAGACTGCTTGATTATAATAAATTATACTTGCTAAGATAGAAAACTGTAATGTTTCAGATGGGTTTAATTAATCTAAACTTTATGTTTTCTAAAGGTGTGGGACATTTACTCTTGGAAATAGAAACTGTGTTTGTGCCCAGGTAACCCACCTGCCTTCAGCCTAATGTTTAAGTCATAATTTTATATTTAGCTGGTATCTAAGATGTCTGCATTATCTATTAACTAACTTTTATTGAAGGAAAAACTGAACATGTTTTACAAACAGTTGATCATAGGATCGCTCACCTGTCTTCATGTTTTGAATAAATTGATTCCGAACAAAAATTAAATGTGGCCTAAACTGGTGGGGGGTTTTCAACAAGTTGTTGCGTTAATAACTGTAGGCAGGAAGGATTATATTCAGTCATCTGTCTTTCACCATTTTTGGAGAAGCCTTTGAATGGAGACACCCTGTTGTTGTTCAACAGCCTATTGAAGAGGATGATCCAGGTTGTCCATGATGCCTTTCATTTTATGCTGTTTTTTTTTTGCTTGTCCTTATTTTTTCCATCTTTTAATTGTCATCACACTGTCACAAATACAGTGCAACGAAATTCACTCTCTGCATCTAACTCATCCCCTTGGAGAGCAGTGTGGGGTTAAGGGTCTTTGCTCAGGGACCCAGAGTGGCAGTCTGTGGGAGTGGGTTT